ACGCTGGCTGCTAGTGCCATGGGTTTTTAAGTAATACCGTTGTATCTTTAGAGATTTATTTGTCATGAATTCAGACTATTTAATAAGAATGAGATTTTTGCTGCTGAGTGGTACACACAATTTGCATTCCTTGTAGACATAGAGGCTGCTGGCTCCCTGAAATGAGTGGAGTAGGCTCCTCAGGACAGAGAAGCAGGGCACAGAGCCATCAGCACAGCCCTGGCCAGGTCGGAGGAGAGGGACGCAGGCTGTGCCCACTTCTGTATCCCAGTCACAGCTGTACCTTGTTTCCATTACATGTCCTACACTCCCGGCATCTAGAAGTTGCCCTCTGCCCAGTGAGGAGAGGTTGTGTGAAGTTGCCATCTCCCTGGTGAGGGAAAGTTGTGGGAAGTTGCCATCTCCCTGGTGAGGAGAGGTTGTGGGAAGTTGCCATCTCCCCTGTGAGGAGAGGATGTTTGCTAGATGAGTAGGTATGTACTATTGACTGCATTGGTGCCCTTTCAGGCTGTCTTCTGAGTTGTTAGAAAATATTATCTAAATGGGAAAGGAGGTTTAGACGTCATGGGTCTCACCCACAGGACTTGAATGTTTGCTTACAGCCAGAACCAGATGTGCACTTTGTGGGCTCCACTGCTAAATGAAAATATGGGGTTCCTTACTCAAAAATTATTAAAACTTCCAGAGAATGGCAGGAGATTAAACCAAGTAGCGGGCCCCTCCAAGCATAGGGCTCTGTGTGACCGTGTCACTATTTATTGTCACTACCTGCTCAATTCTTGGCATGTAAACTGTTGGTATTTTAAAGTTATTTTCCCATTGGAATTATCTTCCCATTATTCAGATGAGGAAGCTGAGGGTCTGAGGGCCTTACTCCTAATAGAACCAGGTTTCCAGCTTGGCTTTGTTGAATGCCAACCCCTGGCTCTTCGCCCAGCCCACCAAGCCACTGGGAAGGCCTGGTGCCATGAGCAGCCCAATGCCCAGCTCACATGGGGCACCCAGGGCAACCAAGTAATGGAGCCTGTGCTTATTGAAGTAATAAGGTTCCTTGCAGCAGTATCCTGTCCCTCTGTTTGGTTCAGTCTCTTTCCTGCCCACGCTGTCATATTCCTCCTATAAGAACTGGCCTCGGAGGCCCTGATTGCTGTGGGAAGTCCCCTCCTGAAATCCATCTGCAGGCAGAGGTGACTGCATGGACCACGGGGCAGCGGAATTCACCAGAGGACACTGATCTCTCTATTTCCACCTTGCACCTGCTCCCTCCTGCCTCAGGGTCTTTGCAAAGGTGGGACCCTCTCCTGGGAAGGCCATTCCTTCTGCCCTGAATTTTGTGTCATTAAGTGCAACGTATCCTTCAGCTCATGATCACCTCCCCAGGGTCTGCTCCCTGACCCATAGACTAGATCAGGATCCTGCCCTGACTTGTGTGAGCCCATCATGTATCCTCTGCAGCGTGTGATGCTGCTTGTGTCCCATGTTCCTGTGTCTTTTTCCTGATGACCTGTTGCCTTCCCCACTGTCCCGAAGGCCCCATGAGGTTAGGGAGGCCGTCTTCTCCTCACAGTGCCCAGCACGTGGCTGGTGCTCAGCAAGTGTGTGCTGCGTGAGTGAGTGAACGAGCGTAAGCTGAGGCACAGGCTGGGGAACTGGAGCTCTGGATGAGGAGGTTCCCGGGCTTGGGGGTGTGGGAGCAGCTTCCTGCCACCGCAGTTTCCTGCAATGCAGGGTCACAAAGCAAGAAATTTAGTTCTCTGGGCCAGACTTGGACAATTTTCCCTCCGAAGCCAGAAAAAAGGAGACTGCCCTGCCCGGGGCTGCTCCCTTCCCTTGCTTCCCCTGTCCCTCAGCTGGCTCGGCCCATGCCCTGCGGGGTGTGCATGCTCTGTTCTTCAGCCTGAGACCCAGAAGAGAAAGGCCCAGACCCCAGGGACACCGCCTGACGCTGTGCTTTGGTGGTGCCTTTGCTCCCCAGGGCCCGGACCCCTGCGGTTGTGCTCTCTGCTGAGCCGTGGGAGGCCTGACTGCGGTGCAGAAGCTGCGGGCAGCTCTCCTAGGATGTAACACTGGCCAGGCCCTGCTCCTCCACCTGCGTTTTCTCCCCTCCCTCCTGCGGTGCCTCCTTTCCCAGCCGCATGCCCTTGGCTGTTTCCTGGGCGTCAGTTAGGTGTTTCCTGTGCCTAGCGGAGGTTGTGATCCTGGGGCACCTGACTTTCTGGGAATGTTCATCACAGGCACGGGGACCCCCGCAGCCTGAGAGCCTGTGTCCTCCAGCACAGCTTTCAGGCTCCGCGGGGCCCGTGAGCACCACAGTCTCAGTCATGCCACCCATAACTGCCTGCTGAAAGCGGGAGGGACTGTTTGGGCGGGTGGCAGAGGTAGGGCTGAAACGAGCCTGCTGTGAACAGGGTTGTGCTGGTTTGCTGGGGCTGCCATGACAAAGTCCCATAGGATGGTGGCTAAACAACAGACATGTGTTTCTCGCAGTCCTGGAGGCCAGAGGTCTGAGACCAAGGTGCTGGCAGAGTTGGTTTCTTTGGAGCCTCTCCCCTTGGCTTGTAGGTGGCTGCTTTCTCTGTTTCACCTGGTCTGCCCTCTGTGCCTGTGTCCTAATGTCCTCGTCTTGTAAGGACACCATCGTGTTGGATTAGGGTCCACCCCAATGGCCTCATTTTAACTCAATCACCTCTTTAAAGGTCCTATCCCCATGTACACTCACATTCTGAGGTCCTGGGGGTTGGGATTCAATATACGAATTTGGAGGGAACCCAGTTCATCCCGCAACAGGGATCTTTGCACTTCAATGGGCAAATCATGCAGGAGCCGTTTGTGAGGGAACGTGGGGATAAGGAAGGCAGAGAGGCACACAGTGGAGAGGAAGGAGGGTTTGTCTTGGGGGATGGTTCAGTCGGCTCCCTCTTGTGGGAGTGCGACTCCTGGCCTGAGCTGCAGAAGTGGAAGGGTTACTAGTTTGCCTCCAGGATGGAGTCTGGCCTCCTGTGGGGACCCAGCACTTGGCACATTCTCCTGGTTTCAGTCACTGTAAATAATCCGTCCTTCATGCAGCGCTAATAGGAGGAGACTGGGGTGTCGGGCGCCCAGCCCTGCTCTCATCCCACCCATATTGTTTCAATTTCCTGCCTTCCCAGCTCTCCTTCCCTCCAGTGGGGAGCCAGCCCCTGGGGCCGGGTGGGGCTGGACTCAGCTCTGGAAGTCAGCTGCGCTCTCTTTCCGGGAGCCCCTGGTCACCGCAGCATGGGCCTGGAGCCTCGGGGACCCCCACCACGGGGGCCTCAGGGCCACGCTCTTGGACTGGTTTAACAGGGCATACGGGCAAGGGGTAGGCCAGGCGGGTGAGATGCAGGGGCCACAGTGGGGCAGTTCGTCCCTCTGTCCTGTGTCAGTGACTTGTGCGGACAGTGAGATTGTTAGGTTGTTCCAGGGAGCGCGTGCCTTCTGGAGCCTCCTGTTGACCTGCCTCCCCTGAGCAGCCCCCTGGGCCAGCTTTGTCCTTTGTCACTGTAGACACAGACCGCGTTCTGGTTCACAAGCTACTTAGAGTCAAGCCGAGCATCTACCTTTTTCTTCTGAATTGACCTCCATCTATTTTTTTAAGGTGACAAGAGACTGTCATAGTGTGGTAAGCTGAATGGTAACCCCAAAGATGCTTCTGTCCCAATCCCTGAACCTGTGAATGTTACTGTAGGTGGAAAAGGCGCTCCCTGGTGTGATTAAGTTCAGGGTCCTGCAGTATCCGCTGGGCCTGGCTTCTCAGAGGTGAGAGAGAAACTTAAAGAATATTGACTTTCAAGTCATCTCTCTCAGGGTGTTCAGTTTGTTAAATCAATAGTGGAAACCATACAAGAGGATGAACTTACTGGCTGATTTTTACAATGAAGGATGTTTGTTATGTGGCACTTCCCCCACCACACCCCCTGTTGGCTCACAGCCTGAGAGGCAGATCTCAGGGTCTTTGTCATCCTTCTTCCTTGTCTACCAGCAGCACCGACCAGAGTTCAGAGCTTCTGGTGACTCTGACCTCAGGGCCTAAGCCCCTCAGGTGACCAGATGACATTTGGGAACATTGTGGTTTGGGATGGCCTGGGCACACTTCATGCAGTGGGGTGGGCAGGGAACGGCACTTCCCCGAGTTGTGTGCTGGGCTGCGCAGAGGTCAAGATGTGGCTCCTGGTGAGAAGATAGCCCTGCTTGCCCCGAGGAGGTCCCGGGCCTCCTGTATCTTTTCAGAGTTCCCCCTGCCAGAGGCAGGGGCCCCCTGTGAGCTCCAGGGCAGCGCTTCGGGTGGGTCTACTAAGAAACCAAAGACAAGAAGTAGTGATGGGGCCTGGGATTCTGGAGCATCTTTTGGGGGATTGGGAGCTTCCCTTACCCCTCCTGTTCCTGGGCTCAGTTGGTCTTTATTCCTGCACTTCAGCTCTGAGTCCCAGGAGAGGTAGAGCAGGACACTGAGAGGCCCTGTGGTTCTAGCTCCCGGTGCTGCTTTAACACACGCCTGCTGGTGCTGGTAACCTGCCTTGGTGACAGTTGAAGTAGCTGGAACAGGGGCAGTGCTTAGAAAGGCAGCCCCTGGCCCTCAGTGTTGCCCACTCAGGCAGGTGGCAAAACTGATCCAAGCAGCCTTGAGGAGGCGGGCTGGGAATTTTTAAGAGATTCCAAAAATCCAAATATTTATCTGAAATATTCTACATTTTAGACGTCAGCAACTAATTTAAAAAAATTTAAAAATACCTCTGGGCCAGGTGATCAGTGGCATTCTACATGGATGAGGCTGTCTTGTAGGGGAGGACATGGGGTCCCACAGAGGCTCCCCCCAAAAGAAGCCTTCCATCTGGCCATCCTGAGCGCACAGTGAGCGTGGAGAGGTTGGGGCAGCCTCACTGTCCCTGCGGCTCGTGTCAGCTCCCGGAGCAAGGGCACTGTGTGTCCACTTTCAAGGTGCCTGGCCTTCCTCAGCGTCTCCCTTCCTTTTCTCTCTGCAGAGGTCTGTGGGGCCCTCAATGTGACTGTGTCCCCGGGGCCTGTGGCTGACTACCTGGAGGGGGAAAATGCCACTCTCCTCTGCCGCGTCTCCCAGAAAATGTGGAAGAACAGCTTGCTGACCGTGCGCTGGTTTTTTGCACACCCCGACTCCCAGGAGGCCTTGATTGTTAAGATGACCAAGCTCAGGGTGGTGCATTACTATGGGAATTTCAGCAGGAAACCCCACAAGCAGAGGCTGCGCTTCCTGGAGAAGAGGCGTGGGGTGCTCTACACACTCTCTGTTTTGACACTCCAGCCCTCGGATCAAGGACATTATGTCTGCAAAGTCCAGGAAATCAGCAAGCACAAGAAGAAGTGGACGACCTTGTCCGATGGCTCCTCAGAGACTGAAATGAGAGGTAAGCAGGCCACTCTCTCGGGAGAGGCATGGGGAGCAGGTCAGGGGTCCCCCCTGCAGTGCCAGGCAGGGGCCTCCAGCATGGGCTGGAACACATCTTCTTAGCCTCTAAGGGCCACTGCCAAGTGAGCCAGGTCGTGGGGGTGAGTGAGGGTAGATCTTTTTGTGGATGCTGAGCTGACGTGTATTGTAGATGTGGAAGCAAGAACAGAAGGAGCCAGAGCCTGGCCCCATGCTGCCCAGCCCGCCCTCTGAGCGAAACCTCCCTCACATTTGAAAGATGGGACTGATTGGACGCTTCACCTCGAGCTCAGGTCTGGCAGCCTTGATTGCTTGGGCCATGGCTGCCAGGCGTCCACGGGAGGAGGCACGCATTGGGAGGTCCTGATGTCAGTTTGGGCCTTGGAGCAGGGAAGACTGGTGGCTCTGATCTGTTGCCCGAAGGAACAGATCCAAGACTCAGGCTGTAACAGCTCACTGAGAAATTCACCCGAGAGTGGGCAAAGGACCAGAGGGAGCCCCTCCCTTCCTGGAGACGGGAGGGAGGCATGGGCCACAGTCTGGAACATCTTAGCTACCAAGTGCCATGTTTGAGGGCTATCATTTTTTATCACAAATGTTTTATTCAACAAGACACCTCTCACAGTTTTAATAAGACTTGTTGTTATTAGCTAAAATTCCACCTTAGATTGCTTTGAGTTTGGTCTGGCACAAGAGCAAGGGGGTCATAGAGTAAAGCTGATAGTCCCAAATGTGAAAAAAATCTAACTTTGTTATACACATGTAATACAGGATTAAAGGCATTAGTGATGCAGTTTTGATAAAGCTTTTCCAGGGGATAAGTGCAGTCATGAGGGGTGTTTAGGGTGCTGTGACTAGGGGTATGTTTGTGTGAGTTAATTCTGTGGGTAGCCTTTGAGTAGCCCAGCTTTGTCCTTGGATTTTGCTTATTGTGATTCTTAAGCACAGAATGATATACTATTTTAAATGTTGTGCACCTTTTCGTTTTAAGCAAATTTATTCAAGAGAATAAGTGTATATTTTAATATACATTTATTTATACATTTAGTATAAATATATATTTTTACATTTATATAAATGCACAGAAAGCAGAAAAATACCTGAGATGACCAAGGGCTGAGGTGGGAATCCAGTCTATCACCTGGCTCGGAAACTCGGTTGTATGTTTTCATTTTGATGTCACAGTGGATTCTGGAGCTGGACACTGCCTGCGGGCAGTGCGGACTGTGCCAGGTGGAGCAGGCACACAGCTTCCCTGCATTCGGGCAAGAGCGTCCTCTAGTGCAGCAGGTGCGTCCGCTTTCGGGGAGTCGGCTCTCTCAGAACAGCGTGACCCTGCCCCACCCGGCTAGTTCCCAAGGGCCCCTGGCATTGAAACCTGCCCTCCCCCTCCTCCCCTCCACTGCGGTCCCTTCCCCTCTTTCTTCTCCCCTCTCCACTTTCCTGGCCTTCCCCCCCCTTTCAAGCCCCCTCATCCTCACTCTTCCCCCCTCCCATGCCCCTGCTCCGCCTCCGAGCTCCCAGTTCCTCACAGTGCCTCGGCCTCTGGGCTGGGCCTTGGGTTTCTGATGAGAAAGTTAAAAACCTTAGGAAGCAACTGCCGCACTTCTAGAATGGTCCACTTAGGCTCCTGGAAGTGTACCCTAAGGGATTAAGGAGAGTAACCCCAAGTGAATGGCCTGAAAGCAGAGCGGTCTGCCCAGGCTGCGGGGAGTGTGTGAGGCCTTGGCGCCTGTCCTCCCTGAGCGAGGCTGGGGACAGGCCTGTGCCCCAGCCTCCCAGGGCAGCTTTCCCCAGGCCCCTTGCCTCCTGCATCTCCTGGGGCCTTGTTTTCCTAAATCTGCACTTCAGTAGTTGTTATATGGAAAACAAGAGCGAGACAAACAACACCATGTAAAGTTCTGTGGGCAGATACATTTGGGTTGGAATTGTAAGCAGAAACTCTCAGAGTGTTTCTGGACTGAGCGCCTTTGCCCCTGGGCCCCGTAGCCCTCTTTCCTAAATGCTCACTCGCCTCCCTCCCACGGGCTTCTCAGGCCCTTCGAGGAGAGGGGGAGTTTTCTTGGGAACCCTTTCTAATGCTGCCCCGCCCCCGGCCCTTGCGCATGGACTGTTCTGTTCTCCTTGCGGTGTTCTTAATGTGAGGTCAGATTGTTCGTGTGTCCCCGTGAACTTCCAGAAAGGCTGATGCACGGGCTCGGGGCTCTTCTCGTCTCCCGCTGCGAGTGGAGGTTGACTCAGGCTAATGCGTTTGAGGGATGGTTCTTGGCGCAGAGCAAGTGTCAGAAGAGTGTTGGCTCTTATTGCTTACCCTGACTTCCACATATTGGTTGTTTTCTACTGCAAAAATAATATAGCTCAATTAGAGAAAACATGGAAAAATACAGAAATGACTTGCAATCTCTCTGCCCAGGCATAACTTAACATTTCATTGTGAATCCTTCCAGACATTTTTATGCAAATAAAAATTAACAGCCTAATTCCACTCATACCATAAATACCACTTCGGGACTGGCTTCTCTCACATTACTAAATAGTGTGCACACCCTCCTATGTTGTGAAAGATGCTCCCACAACTTGATGTTAATGGTGGAGTAATATTTTATGATGTGGATGTCCCACAATTTAGCTTCCTAGTTACTGTCACTTAAATTGTTCTAATTCCTTGTCAGTAAATCTTCACTAATGTCCCTGTCCTTAGAGTGAAGTCCAGGAAATAAGATTGCTGGGTCCAGTGGCATACTCAGTTTAAAGACTGATACAATTTAAAGCATTCAATTGGCATCTACATTCCCACCAGCATTGAATTTGCCTTTTTCCCGTGGCTCGGTCTGCATAATATATGCTTTCTGGGGGTGATGATGATGATGGTGACTGTGAGTACCGGGGACAAGATCCGGTACACAGCTGACTGTCAGTAAGTACCTTAGGAATGAGTGAAGTGCGCCTGGCCGGGTGGATAGCGCCGCTCTCCCTGGGAGACCTTCCCGCTCCCGTGGCCTGTTCCAGCTGCACATCTTATTTAAGGTTCCTGGTCCGTGCCTCCTTCCTCCTCCGTGACGCCTCCTGGTGGGTGCCAGCCCATGGAGGCCTACTCTGCCTATGGCATCGTGTAGCTTCTGTTTTTAGGCTGTTTATACATGTTCAACATAATGTAGTCACACCGATGTTTTTGTAAGCTGCTGTGGCAGAGGGATGGTGTAAAAAAATATTGTATGTAAAGGAGTCAAACAGTGTCAAAACGGAAATATCAGAGTCTGCCTTCTCCCTGCTTGCACCCTAATATCCACTTGCATTGCCATCGCCAGAGGTAGCCGGCGTCAGCGCTCCGGCTGGATCCTTCAGGGCCCTCTCCCCTTGGCACTCATGCACACCCACCCACACACATTTAACAACACTGCACTTAATGCTTTACAAGTGCTGTTGATGGTATCATATGTACTTTTTGTAATTGATGTTACATAGCAAGACAACACCAAACTACATCCATCATTCCCCAGGGGTGAAAACTTAGGGAACTTCCAATGTTTCATTTAACACAAGCAGTGCTTCAGTGAACATCTTGTATACATTTCCCTGTGTTTCTGTTGGCTGGATTTCTGGAAAGAGAATTGCTTGGCCTAAGGCTACGCATATTTAAATTTTAATAAACAATGCCAGGATGCTGTCCTGAAAGACTTGACTAATGTATACTCTGACCATCATTGCGTGATAGTATCTATTTCCCTGAAGCTTCATTAACAATGGATATTATTAATCTTTTCCATTATTTATCTCAGTGATGAGAAAATAATATTTTACTGTTGTTTTAATTTCAATACAATAGAGTTTAATTTAAATTATTGTATTGAATTAGTAGTGAGGTTGTACATCTCTTATGTTTATTGACTGCTTAAAAATGTTCTGTCTGTTGCTTGTCTGTATCCATGGCCTATTTTTCAATTGGCTGCTGTCTTTTTATATATATATTTTTTCTGATCATTAATTTATTAGCTGTTACATATGGTGCAAAATTTTCTTCCTATTTGTTACTTGTGTTTATACTTTATTTTTTTTTGCCATATAGACATTTTATACTTTCAGGATATTTATACAGTCAGATTGGCCATGTTTTTCTTTATGGTATTCCTTTTTTCCAGGTTTGTTTTTGTTTTTGTTTTTTAGATGTAATTTATTTTCAACAAATTGCACATGGTACCTTGGTTTTAAATCTTATCTAGGAAGGTGTTTCTCACCCTAAGCTTATAAAAGCATTTTCCATATTTTTATGTAAAGTTTTTGAAGAAGGCAGTTTACCCCTTTATCTATTTGTAATCCATTTTTATATAAGGTATGGAGTAGCTAATTTATCTATTTGTAATCCATTTTTATATAAGTATGGAGTAGCTAATTTGTTTCCAAATGGCTATTCTGTTGTCCCTACATTACCTATTGCTTAGATAAAATTTCCTGGTCTTGAAGTGCCACATTTTTTAGAAGCTAAATGCCTACATTTCAGTGTAAACTCTATCTCACCAGTGCAGCATTTTAAAATTTTTATAGAATTGGGCAAGTCTCCTTTATTATTTTTTAAATAAATGGCTTGCCTATTCTTATACATTTAATTTTTCCTTCAGGTGATCTTACCTAGTTTTGTAAAAATTATGCTAGGGTTTGATTTTATTGGGATTTCATTGACTTTATAATTACCTTGGGCAGGTATATACATCTTATACATCTTTATGATTTTAAATGTTTCTATTGAGGGACCTGTTGTATTCCTAATGCATTCTGAGTGGGTTTTCTTTTTAAATATCTTTAAAGATTTCTAGGTATTTTATACTTATAATTAGGATCTATCCCTTCTCCTTACACACACACATCTTTTAAATTGGNAGGTATTTTATACTTATAATTAGGATCTATCCCTTCTCCTTACACACACATGTGCACACACACACATCTTTTAAATTGCNCTTATAATTAGGATCTATCCCTTCT